CCTCCTCCCCCTCCTCCTCCTCCTCCTCCTCCTCCTCCTTCTCCTCCTCCTGCTCCTCCTCCTCCTCCTCCTCCCTCCTGCGCCTCGAGGCCTCGGGGGCTGCGTTTGGCATTTTTCTCGGGGGGATCATCGAGGAGCCTTCTGGCGTGCACGGTGGGGGGAGTGAGAATGGCTGGTCTTGTCAGGAGGCCCGATAGTCCCTTGGTCTCTTGAGAAGTTGTGTTAGCATTCTCCGAAGACACCGGAAACTCCGCAACCCCGCCGCCCTCGGAGAAGGCCTGCTCCTTCTCACTTCCCGCGCTCGCCGCCGACGTTTGGGTCATGTGGCGGAAAAAAAATAGTACATTGGGAATGGACGTCCGAGCGATGGCAATGGGCTGCGTGGGTTGGTCATGGTCTTCTTCCCCGCAAGCGACGTGACGCACTTCGGCTTGCACCTTGCGCGCTTGTCGCGCTGGAGGTACCGCCGCTGCGGCCTCGACGGTGGCCACCGCTGCGGCCGCCACGGCGGCCGCGGCAGCACGGCACCTGCCACGCGGAAGGTGCGGAAGGTGCGAAAGGTGCAGGTCGAGGGGCCACAGTCGCGTTGAGAGCAGTGTGGCAGCCCACGTCAGCGTGCGTCGACAGCGCCCGAGACGTCGAGCCGCGGCCAGTCCTCGCCAGAAGGACCGATGCTCCTCAGGACGTGTGTCAGCCCAATGCGAGTTGAGCCCGCTCGGCTGCGCCGATGGCACGGAGCCCGTGTTGGCTCCCGACTGCGCCGCCTGGCGCCGAGCTGCAGGGCATCGGCGGGCCTCCCAGGAGCACACGAAAGTGGCGACAGTTGCGCAGATCGTACGCCCCCCAGGGGGCGGCGAGGTCCCGAGGTGGTCCGCGTGGGACCCACCTCCGCTGGGCCTCCCAGGAGCCCACGAAAGTGGCGATAGTTGCGCAGATCGCAAGCATTCGGGGGCAGCGTGAGGGGGGACGGACCCAGAGGGGGCCGCATCGATCCCCAACCGTTCACTCATCGCTGGCAGGGGCCCGGCAGCCCACCCCCGCCAGGAGCGTGCGGATTCCTCATCAGGGGTTGTCGGCGGCCTATTGCTGATCTATTGGCGATGTATCTCGGAGAAGAAGAACAAGCAGAAGAAGAAGAAGAAGAGGAAACGGCATGAACATACGCTTCTGGCGCTCCGCGCGGATTTGTTTGACCTGCGCTGGGCCCCCCTGGCAGCGCTTCCAGCGCCGCCCCTGGCGCGCTCCGCGCGCCAGGGAGAGGGCTCCAGCGCAGATCGGAGAAATCCGAGCGGACCTCCAAAAGTTGATGTTTCTGCCGTTTTTGGTCCCTCTAGTATCGCCGATTCCAGGTTCCATGTTTCCCCCCCTATGCCCGTCCCCCCTATCGTTACCCGTCACTCGGGGGCTTCTTGGGTTGAAGAGGAAATCGGACGTAGATACATGAGGTTCGAGGTTCGAGGCTTCCGTTCGGTAGCAAGTCATAGGAGCTTTGTTTCGCAATCCCGCTTTCAGAGTGCGTCAGCGTCGATTAGCGTCTGGTATTCGCTGGGATAGCGCCGATTCAGCGTCGATTAGGGCCGATTTAGGCCTCCCAGATGGGGTCGGAGTAGGGGGTCGGAGGATCGCGCCGCATCGCCGATGCATTTGCGATGCGGCTCGATGTGGGGTCCGATTTTCTCCTCGCCAACGTCGCTGTCGCCGATGCATCGACGATGCGTCGACGTTGCCTCGACGATGCAACACGGCGAGGGCCGAGATACTATCAAAGTCTTCATTGTCGCAGGTTACTACTTGGCGACGGTGCCACCTCAAATACCTTGGATTTTGAACATTGAAATTGGCGATCTTTATTTTAGCGACGGTGCCTTTGGTGAACCACTAAGTGCACTCGGTGCGGTATCGAGATTTGTCGAGGGGCTGGCATGACGTTCGCCAGCGAAAACCTGATTGTCGCATTGTTTGATCTGGCGGTGGCGTCGCCAACACCTGCACCACGGAACAAACGAAGCCAAACATAAGAACGCAGGAGTACGTGGCTTGAAAAGGAAGACGGGGCCTTGGCTGAAGAGGCTCGACGTTCGGGCCTTGCGCGCGCTTTCTCCAGTTCTCGGCGGCCTGTCTAGGGATGCTCTCCAGCAGCTGCGCCTCGCCGAGAGGCGTCGGGGGTGCCCAGAGCGTCCAGAAGAGCCGCTGGAGGCCCGACGTACGACCCGAAAGCCAGGCGACGAAGATCACGTGATGGGCAGATTTCCCACCACCACTACCATGGGTAGGAGAGGGGGTGGGAGTAGGAGGAGGAGGAGGCGAAGGAGGACCTCCCCATACTCTCTTCTCCCCCGTCCTACATGTGGTAGTGGTGGTGGGAAAGTGGCCCATCATCACAGGTGAGATGGGCTCACCCTGACTTCGGATTCGCCGTACGTTGGCTTGATGCTCCGATTCAGAAGTGTGCCAGGCATGCAGCCCCAACGATGCGAAACGAAAGGGGCGGAAGTTCCCGCCTCAGAGAAAGTAGGAGCGCATGATTCCGCAAAAGTGTGGCGGAAACAGCGCCAGCAAAGTAGGGCGGAAATCGACATCAAAGCAGTTTGAAAGTGCCTTATTTACGAAATCGCCCAAAGTATGGCGGATCCGAAGTCAGGGAGATCGGATCGGACGAACGGGGGAGATTCGGAAAGGGGGGGATTGCCCAGGGTACCCGCGGGGGCGCGAAGATGATCGCGCGTCGCGCGTCGCGGTCGGGGCCAGATCGGACGTCGCGCATCGCGGGGCGCGATGCGCGAAGTTTGGCGACCTGGGAATGGGGGGGAGATTTAGAAAGGGGGGGTGCGAAATCTGATGCATGCAGCTGGTTTGGCCACGCCGCCAGGGGTTCACTGCTGCGGCGCCCAACACATCCTCCAGGACCGCCAGTTCGATGGCCAAGTATGTGGGAGGCTCTGGTCGACCCAAAGAATTTCTCAAAGTATAGCTTGATTGGATTTAGTGGGACTCAGTGGGTGCTCAAATGAGATTGAATGGGGTCTAGTTAACTGGGTGTGGGTTAATGACATGTGGAAGTATCCAGAGCGGGCGCAGGTGGAATGTTGTGGGATCCGGTTGGTTTTTGTGTGTGTGTGGGGGGCAGGACATCTCAGTGGCTAGTCGCCCGTGCGATCGCATGACGCTCCCATGCCTGGCCATCGATCGCCAGCTCCCGCCCTCCTCCTCCTCCTCTTCCCCCTCCTCCTCCTCCTCCTCCTCCTCCTCTCTCCTCCCCTCCTCCTCCTCCTCCTCCTCTTCCTCCTCCTCCTCCTCCTCCTCCTCCTCCTCCTCCTCGTTTCCCGAAGCAGGCTCCCGCATGTTGCCGATTCAGTCTACGTCTGTCTTTCCTCGTAGCCAAGCCGCTTGGCCTGCCGCACCGTCTGCCCCCCCCCCCCCAGACCTAGACCCCCCGCTCTCAAGCTTCCGCGAAGGCCTTCCCCAAGGGCTCCCTCGGGGGCGCGAAGTTACTCGCGCTTCGCGGTCCTCGCTCCTTCTCCCCCCTCCTCCTCGTCCTCCTATTCTCCCTTTGGGAGGGCGGCGCGAGAGCGCGAAGTTATTCGCGCTTCGCGCTTCGCGCAGCGCGCTAGTTCACTGGACCCTGGGGGCCGTCGAGAAATGACTCGGGATGTCAAGCCGGTCCCAGGGAAGGAGGGGTCCACCCTGACTTCGGATCCGCCGTACAGTCGGGGCCCTGAAGAAGGAACCCTTTTCGTTGGGGAGGGGCTCCGCGTTCCCTAAGTGTTTCACAGCTTGCCTCAGGTTTTCCTTATGTTTTCGATAGGAAGTCGAAGGTTAACTTATGAAAAAAGGGGCCTCGTTCCTTATTTAGGGTTCCTTCGGTCAACGCCCGGACTGTACTTTGGGGGGGGGGGATTTCGCGAGCAGGGCGGAGATTCCCATTTTTTCTTGTCAAAATCTTGGTTTCCGCCCTACTCTGTTGTCGTCGCTGCTTCCGCCATACGTTTGCGGAAAAATCCGTCCCTGCTTTTGTCTGTGGCGAAAATTTCCGGCTTTTCGTTTCGCACCGTTTGGGGTGCGTTTCCGACACGTTCGTAAGTCGGGGCATCAAGCGAAGTATGGCGGATCCGAAGTCCGGGTGAGTCTATCCTACCAGTGGTCGTCGTCGTCTGGTTTTTCGGGAGCTTTGCGACGGGGGTCAGTGCAAGCAGGGGTCAGCCAGAGCGCCGGATCTTGCAGGATCTTGCAGAGCCAGGGTTGCATGGGCCCAAGCTGGCGCGCAGGATCCTGCAGGATCCTGCAGGATCTTGCAGGATCTTGCGCCGAATGACTGGCCTGGGTTTGCACTGACCCAGGTCGTTGCGTTCCCAAGATTTCGGGTCATACCTCGGGTCTCCAGCGGCCATGCGGGACGATCCGGGCACCCCCCGACGCCTCTCGGCGAGGCGCAGCTGCTGGAGAGCATCCCGAGGCTGGCACGCCGTCGAGAGCAGACGAGAACGCGCGAACACCGCGAGCCTCGACCCTCTTCGATCTACGCCCGATCTTCCTCTCGGCCGAACCGCTGGGCCCGCCGCGCCGTCTGCGCCCGCCCCCCCCCGCGAGAGGCCCTCCGCGCGAAGCTGCTCGTCATCTCGCGTGGCCTCACCAGGCTCGCGGGCCCCGGCGGCTCGCTGGCCGGGACGGACGTGGGCCCGGACATCGCGGAGTTCAACGCCCGCATCGAGGCCGCCGTGGGGATGCTGGGGACTGGGACGGGAGGTTTTTGCCAGTCTTCGGCTTCGGGGGACCCTCGCCAGGCCTCGGGACCGTCAAGAAACGACTCGGGATGAATCAGAAGACAGCTCGCCGCTTGGGCCTAACCGCCAGCCCGAACGGCGAGCATACATCGGGCGTTGCCCCGCATGCATTTGGATGCCCACGCTTCGTCCTCGTACTACTCGCGGGCCCCCAGGACGGTAAATGCGTTGACGGCGTCCTGGTCGTACCATGCACACACATAGGTTGCGCCCTCGGCCGCCGAGAATAGGGCCGTCTCCTATTGGTTGCGCCATAAGTTGCGCCATCGGCCGCCAATAATGAAACCGTCTTCTATCGGTTGCGCCATAGGTTGCGCCTTCGGCCGCCGAGAATAAAACCGTCTCCTATCGGTTGCGCCATACGTTGCGCCCTCGGCGGTCGAGAATAAAATGTTCTCTTATTTGTTGCGTCATAAGTTGCGCCCTGTGCCACCGAGAATAAAACCGTCGCGTAACGAGTGCGAACAGTCAGTTCAATTCAGTTCAGTTCAGCTTACTTCAGTCCAGTCCAGTCCAGTTTACCTCGCGAGAAACAAATTCGGGCTACGCCCGAAAAAAACGGTCCCAGGGAAAGGGTCGGGACTTCCAAGGACGCCGTATGGAAAAAATCAGGACGTGGCATGTCTGGGGAGGAAAACTCCTTAGGCCTCCCAGATGAGGTCGGAATAGAAGCGGTCGGAAGATCACGCCGCATCGCCGACGCATCGGCGATGCGGCTCGATGTGCAGCCCGATTTCTCCGCGCCGACGGCGCGGGTGCATCGCCAGCGTCGCCGACGCATCGCTGATGCATCGCCGATGCGTCCATCGATGATGCGTCGACGATGCGGCGCGATATTCCGACCCATCTACTCTAACCCCACCTGGGAGGCATTTTCAACACATCGGTGATACAAGGGGTATGACTACGCCGGGGAGTTGTTTGCGACCGGCGCCGTCTGGGCTTGAGGGGCCACCACTCGGGGGTGGCAAAGAGGAGGGTGATGACTAGGGGGGAGTGGATACCATGGCCTGGGCCACGATATTTCTCCAGATTTCATGGCACCTCTTCTTATTTCATTGCGTCCCTGGCCCCCCCCCTGGGCCGCGCACATGCCGCCGGCCACGATTTGCACCCTCCCTTTTGGACCCCCCCCCCTTGGACGCCCCCGAACCAAGTTGCGCCCAAGGTTTGGTAAGCCCCCGTCGGGGCACGGCAGAGACCTCTGCCGCTGTCCTCGCCCGCCCTCACCCCCAGGCGCGGGTGGCAGGCACACCATTTGCAAGCCACACCCTTCGGAGTCGCCGGGAAGGTCCCACGCATGGTCGCGTCGGGCGGGCGTCACGACAAAAATTGTCCCGGCAAAGCAACCTCACAGCGATGTGTAGGAGCATATCTGGAAGCATTCCCCTTAAGATTCAGATGAGAATCCAGTTGCAGAATTCTGCTGTTCTCGCAGTCGTAGTCGCATTCGCGATGACAGTCGCAGTGGCAACGGCAGTCGCAGTCACAGCCTCAGCCTCAGCCTGCCTCAGCCTCAGCCTCAGCCTCAGCCTCAGCCTCAGCCTCAGCCTCAGCCTGCCTCAGCCTCAGCCTCAGCCTGCTTCAGCCTCAGCCTCAGTCTGCCTTCAGCCTCGGCCTCAGCCTCAGCCTGCCTCAGCCTCAGCCTGCATCAGCCTCAGCCTCAGCCTCAGCCTGCCTCAGCATCAGCCTGCCTCAGCCTCAGCCTCAGCCTGCCTCTGCCTCAGCCTCAGCCTGCTTCAGCCTCAGCCTCAATCTGCCTTCAGCCTCGGCCTCAGCCTCCGCCTGCCTCAGCCTCAGTCTGCCTCAGCCCGCGGCCTCAGCCTCAGCCTGCCTCAGCCTCAGCCTGCCTCAGCCTCAGCCTCAGCCTCAGCCTGCCTCAGCCTCAGCCTCAGCCTGCTTCAGCCTCAGCCTCAGTCTGCCTTCAGCCGCGGCCTCAGCCTCCGCGTGCCTTAGCCTCAGTCTGCCTCAGCCTCAGCCTCAGCCTGCATCAGCATCCAAAATGTGGCCCGGGAATGGAGTTCTGGGAACTCGAAGAACACGAAGTGGCCTACAGTTGGCTCTGGGCATTCGAAATCATGCCCAGGAATGGAGTTCTGGGAACTCGGAGACCACGAAGTAGCGTTGGCTCCGGGCATTCAAAATCATGCCCAGGAATGGAGTTCTGGGAACTCGAAGACAACGAAGTGGCCTGAAGTTGGCTCCGGGCATTCAGAATCATGCCCAGGAATGGAGTTCTGGGAACTCGAAGACAACGAAGTGGCCTACAGTTGGCTCCGGGCATTCAGAATCATGCCCAGGAATGGAGTTCTGGGAACTCGAAGACCACGAAGTGCGTTACTGTTTTTGCTAAACAAGGAGTCCCCAGATTCCCCCGGATCCCGTCCGGATCCCGCCCAGACCCCTTTGTGGAGTCATGATGCTTCCTTTTGACACTACTAGAAACCTATCAGTCTTCGCTGTTAGGTAATCACGCCGGAAGGTTTTGGGCCGCTGCTGGCCTCCAGAGGCCCTCGTTGGGCCCCAGGACTGGAGAAAACGACCCGGGATGACGAACCCGCCTTGAGGATGTGGGGTTTCGGCTTCGGGGACGCCGCAGCTGGAAGTAAACATTTCTGTAACGCTTCCCCCTCGGAGTGGCCTCCGCTTCCCCTCCCCCTCCGCGGCCGCCCCGTCTGTCCCGTCCCCGCTCCTGCACGCGGGCCAATGCGCTCCTCGGTGCCCCCGTTGAGCTCCAGCGCTGGTGCAGCAGCTCTGCCTCGCCGCCGACGAGGGAAGTCTGGGATCCTCTGGGCGGGCCCTGAAGAAGGAACCCTTTTCGTTGGGGAGGGGCTCCGCGTTCCTTAAGTGTTTCGCAGCCTGCCTCAGGTTTTCCTTCTGTTTTCGATCGGAAATCGAAGTTTAACTTATGGAAAAAAGGGGCCTCGTTCCTTATTTGGGTTCCTCAGGTCAACGCCCCGACTGTAGATCGCACTCCAGAATGCTCTTAGAGCGCTCCCGAGCGCTCTGGAAGGGCCGCGGCAGTCCTAAGACCTGAGGGCTGGGCACCTCTGATCTCTACCAGCGCTGCTGTTGCGATCAGGTACAATGAAGGGGCCCCAGGACACACAAATAAATACACACAAATAAAACTATTCCCCATATTTTCTCATATTTTCTGGGTTTTTGTCTTCCCCCCCACTTCCCATATTTTCCCATATTTTCTGGGGGATCGACGATTAATTGTGTCTGTGTGTGTTTTTTTCCCTCCTGATACAAGTTGTTCATACCGGGCGTTTGCACCCGGTTTCGTGCCCCACAACTCCCATAACTATCGCCGATCAACCCAGTTCGAAACATGCAGCACCAAGACATGGTCTAGGGTTGTGGTCGTGATCTCTCGGGGTGTAACAAGACCAGACGCTTCGCGTAAGCCCACCAACCGTTGTGCGCTTGCTTGTGAATTGAGTACATTTTGTTCGGTGCATGTGCAACTGCGTGCGTGTCTTGCAGATGCGAACTGGCTGCCGATAGTGGCGGCTGTGTTCGCGAATTCGCTCCGTGCCGCATCCCGGACGCTGCGTCCGCTCCCTGACATTTGCCTTGGAGCCGCGAACCACAAAAAGTAAGCCCACCAACCCTTCCAGAAACAAGGCCCAGACGAGCTGCGCTGATCAGGAATGTTGAGGAGCATCTGCAGTGGAATAAAGGGCTGGGTAAGACGACATACTCCAAGGAGGGGAGGATGGAGGATGCATCGGAGGAGCAGGATGAGGGGGGAGAGGGGGAGCAGGAGGAGGGAGAAGGAAGGAAGAGGAATATCGGATGAGGCTGACGATGGGGAGGGCGAGCAGAGAGGCCAGAGGCCTCATACTGCCTCTCGGAGTCTATTCGGATGTCTTTGAGAGCTTCTTGCAGTCCTCTTGGGCCACTTGGGGCGTCTTGGATGCTTCTTGGCAGTCCTGGGGTCTCTTGGGGCGTCTTGGGTGCCTCTGGGGGGCCTCTTGGGGCCTCTTGGGGGTCTCTTGGGAGCCTCTTGGAGGCATTTGGGGGGCGTCTTGGCGGTTTCTTGGGGCCTCCCTTGGGAGCCTCGGGGGCGATCTTGGAGGAGATCGGTCAAAGGACGGGCCGTGCTAAACTAGGCCCCCCCCCCAAGGAGGCGAGAATGTAGCCAACACCTCAGTCACATCTTTTGTTCAGGCCTTCTCGCCGAGGCCTCTTGGGCGTCTTGGGTGCCTCTGGGGGGCCTCTTGAAGCATCGTGGGGATCTCTTTGGAGTCTCGTGGGGGCATCTTGGGGGGCTTCTCGGGGCATCCTGGGCACCTTGTGGCCGTCTTGAGGCACCCTTCGGAGCCTCGGGGGCCATCTTGGAGGAGATCGATCAAAGGACGGGCCGTACTTGTGGAGGTCAAATATGACATTATTTTTGTTTGGCCTTCTCGCCGAGGCCTCTTGGGGCGTCTTGGATGCCTCGTGGGGAGCCTCCTGGAGGTCTCTTGGGATCCTCTTGGGGGCATCTTGGGGGCCTCCTGGGCGCCTCTCGGGGCCGTCTTTAGGCACCCTTGGGAGCCTCGGGGGCCATATCATTTACGGCAATGGTGAAGGAGATCGATCAAATGACGGGCCGTACACAATGAGCGGTGCCCCCCAGGAGGCCAACGTGTGGCCCAAACCATAGTAAAATCAATGATGGTGGTATTCTCGCCGAGGCCATATTGGACGGTACAGCGCCCCGCGGAACGCCCTGTCCAGGTCCACGGGGAGGCAGTAGGGGGAGGGGTCCAGACACATTCCCCGCCCGCAAGCCGTCTCGCTCACTCCCACCCACCCTCCCAACACATCCGCAACATGCTCAGCGGTCGTCTTTGGATGGATAGCTAATGGGAACCAAAACAGACCCCATGTGCGCAACGCTGGGGCGAGGTGCGCCACGCGTGCCAGGCGCGCCACTCGCGCTAGGTGCGCCAGGCACCCCTTTGGCCCAGCAGTCGCGCCATGTGCGCCACGTTCGGGGCACGCGCAGAGTGTGCCAGGTGCGCCTGTGCACGTGGCAGTACTCATCGGGAAACGTGTCGGCTCTCACCACCCTTGCCGAAAACCAGTGCGCAATCGCTGCGGGGTGCCCATCATGGTGTCTGGTGGGCCTGCACACAGCAGGCAATATGCCAGCACCCCTGCCGCACCATTCCAAAACCAATGCACAGTGATCGAGGAGTGTCCGCGCATGATCCAGATTATGGTTCGGAGTGTATATTGCATTGTTGTTTGACAGGGATGCAGGCCCTGCGCACAGCAGGCAATATGCGGGCACCCCCGCCGTCCCTAACACTATGAAGTGCTCGTGCCCCACCCAATCATGACCCAAGATTTTGCCCCAAAGTGTATCTCACATTGTTTCTTGACAGGGATGGTGCGAAAGAATCCTCATAGGTCCTGGTTTGCTGTCTGCCGGTCGCCCAGGGGAGGGTTTCTTCCTTGATAGGGAACACTGATAAACGCCTCCCCGAAATGGAAGAGGGAAGATTGAAGAGGAAACTCTGTAAACCACTCACGCCCTCAAGGGCTGGTGGGATTTTTCGCCACGCCGGATCTCAGGGTCGGGCGTGCCCAGTACCGGATCTCATCGATTTACACAGCGCCCTGGAACGCTCTCAGAGCGTTCCCGAGCGCCCGGGAAGAGCCGCGGCGCCCGATATTTCCCCCCAGAACCGCCGGACTTCATGGATCCCCGAGTTGTTCAAGTCCGATGGTGTCCCAGTCATGACGAAGTCGTCTCATTCCGATGTGGCCCAGGCCGATTTTGCCCCCGTATAGGATTCGCCTCGTGCCGACACCGATGCCCTCGTCGCCACGGCGGGGTTCGCCCCGAGGTCCTGGTCTGAACGCGCCTCGGGAGAGGCCCGGGGAGCGTCGGGGGCGTCCAAAAGAAGGGGGCGAGGACCAGGTTCGGGCGTTGCTAGAAGTGCCCCTGGCCGTGCCCACAGGATTTCCGAGGAGGCCCCCAAGGCCTCCAGAGCGCCCCCCACGAGGCCCAGAGGGCCCCAGGGGCGCCAAGATGGAGAGCAACGCTGGGGGCACCTTGGGCTGGGGACACCTTCAGCAACCCCCGATGGGTGTAGGCTGGCCGGGGCCACGACTCCTCCTCCTCCTCCTCCTCCTCCTCCTCCTCCTCCACCTCCTCCTCCTCCTCCTCCTCCTCCTCCTCCTCCTCGGCGCACTCGAGGGCTAGCAGCATCTGCATCGCAGGTGCCGTGGAGGCCCATGTCAAGAAACACCCTGCTTGCCTCCAGGGTGCCCTGGGTTTCTTGGGTTTCGATGGGTTTGCTTTGGAGATCGTGACCTTCCCATAGCCAACGAATCAATGGACGTCCTGGGATCTCAGGGTTGGGTTTCTTGTGGAAGGTTCCTTGTCGACTGGCCTCCACTGTATCTTGTGTTGTCCCCCCCCAAATCCTCACAGGCCGTCGTGCGGAGCACCGCGGGGCGGAGGGACGCCGGGGCGCTGAGCCAACTGGCGGAGGTGATGGACAGCGTGGCCAGTCTGGCCAAGGACATCAGCGGCCACCAGATGCAGCTGATGCAGGAGGGCGAGGGGCACCAGGACGCTGGGCAAGCGCAAAGCGACGCCGGGGCGCTGGAGGGGCAGCACGACCAGGAGAGGGTCCCCTCCTTCGGCTGAGGGCGGGACGCAGCGGACCCCCTCCCCGAGGGCCTAGATCTCCGACGGCGCGAGATCTCTGCCAGCCGTCGTTGGTTCCTCGATGTCGGCCCTCGGAGGGCGGGGGGCGCTTTCGGGCCCGGGGGCCCAAATGGTTCGGGGACGACGGGCCAATCACCCCAGGGGTAGCGGTTTGGGTCCCCAGAGAGACCGGCGCAACGCCCAAGAGGTGCGCGATGCTGTTGGGTCGTGCTTCGGCGCGCGTCCACGGAGGCGGGCGGAGTGGAAGGGCGAGGTTGCGTGATGCCTCTGGGTCGCGCAGTCCTCCTGCGGCGCGCGCCCGCTGGGACGCTCGGAGCAGGGCGAGGAGGACGCGCGGTTCCTTTGGGGTCTTGCTTCTGAGGTGATCCACTGGGGCGCCCGTAGGAGGAGAATAGAGGAGGTGCCTGACTCGTTCGGGTTTAGCTTCGGCGCGCATCTACTGGGGCGCGCGGGGAGTGAGGGCGAGGGGGGGGAGCGGGAAGTGACTTCAACAACACCTTGACTTTACGTGGCACAGGGCCACTCGCGCCAATGCTGTTTTCGCTCTCCACGCGCCCTCTTTTTGTGTCGCGGATGCGTGCGCCTACGTGCACACGTGGATCCCTAACGTCTTTGGTGTGTGTGTGTGTCTGTGTGTGTTTGTGTGTGTGTCTGTGTTTGTGTCTGTGTGTATGTGTGTATGTGTGTGTGTCTGTCTGTCTGTCTGTCTGTCTGTCTGTCTGTCTGTCTGTCTGTCTGTCTGTCTGTCTGTCTGTCTGTCTGTCTGTCTGTCTGCCTGCCTGCCTGCCTGTCTGTCTGTCTGTCTGTCTGTCTGTCTGTCTGTCTGTCTGTCTGTGTGTGTGCCTCTCTCTGTGTGTAAGTTCGGGGTGGCTGCTCCTCGGCCCTTCCCTCCGGGCGCCTCGCGGGTCTCCCGACCTCGGCCCCCTGGGCACATGCTGCTGCGCTTCCGCTTCCGGGCCCCGCTGGGCCCTCCCCCCCTGGGCGCTCGCCTCCGGCCGGCGCCCCTGCGCCCTCCCCCCAGCTGCCGCCCCGCCGCCGCTGGTCCTACCCTTCAGTCGGGCCCGTCCCTCTACAGGAGGAATTTCCCACGATGATCAGAAGATAGTCAGGGGACTATTTAAAAAAGTTATCTGGCCTTTTTGGGATGTGTTTTGCGTATTTTTCATCTTTCCTCGAGAATCCCCCTGCAGGGGGGACAGGCCCGACTTCATCCTGCCCCCGGCGCCCCCTCCCGCCGCCGCCGGCCCCTCTGAGCGGGCCCGGCTCCTCGCTCCCTCTTGCCCGCGGCGGGAGACGAGGCGCGCAGACGATCTGCACCGATCTCGCTGGGAAAGGGCCCACCCTGCTCCTCCTCCTCCTCCTCCTCCTCCTCCTCCTCCTCCTCCTCCTCCCTGCCCCCTCCTCCTCCTCCTCCTCCTCCTCCTCCTCAGCCTCCTCCTCCCCTCCTCCCCTCCTCCTCCTCCCCTCCTCCACCTCCTCCTCCTCCTCCTCCTCCTCCTCCTCCTCCTCCTCCTCCTCCCCCTCCTCCCCCTCCTCCTCCTGCTGCTGCTGCTGCTCCTCCTCCTCCTCCTCCTCCTCCTCTTCCCCGTGCATCGCGGCCTAGTTCGCGTTTCGTGCATCCCACATACGCCCCTCCGCCAGCGCGGTGACTCTGCCTAGCCGCCGAGGCAAAAAAGTGCAAGTGTGTGTGTGTGTGAGAGAGAGTGTGTTTCGCTTGTGTATCTATGGCATGACTTATCGCCTGCGCAGGTGTCCTGGAGGGTCTCCGTGAGAGTCCAAAAACTTATCCAGGAGCATGGAGTTGACATCATTGTTTCTCGTTTTCGTTGGGGGAGCGATTGCCCTTGTCAGGGCGCGCTGCTGCGCGGCTCACATCGCGATACAGCGAAACGAGTGCACGGCGGGGCCCGCGCGAGGGCGCGCTCGTCGCTTCGGCCAGGTCGGGCTCCCGAGGGTCTACTGGGGCAAAGAGAGAAAAGCCTCGAGGGCCGGGGTTCGGATCGACAGGTTCTCTTGTTCGGGGGGGTGTTTGCCGCCGTGAGGGCACGCTGCCGCGGGGGTCCCATCTTGCTGTGGAGGAAGGGGAAGCTGCGGCGGCGGCGCGAAACGCGTTCGTCGTTTAGGCCGAACCGGGCATCTGAGGGTTCCAGGAGTTACGCCGACAAATCCAGGGCCGAGTTGAACTCTGCTTTTCTTTATGGGTTGGCCGCTTCCTCTGTCGGGGCGAGCTGCTGTGGGGCTCCCATCGTGGTATAGCGAAGCAGTCCAATGCGGCTTCAACACAAAATCGCGCTCGTCGTTTCATCCGGGTCAGGCTCCGTAGGGTTTCCAGGGGGGGGCACATGGGTCGGAATTATAGGATCGACGCGTTGAATCATCCTGCGCGCCCGCCGCCGGGGCACGCTGCGCGGCGCCGTCGTCGCGAATGTGGCGAAACAGTGTACTGCGACGCGATGTTTCCGGGTCGCGCTTCAAGGAGGGAAGGGCGAGGGTGCGAGATTTTTCGGATCGCAACAGTGGCCTGGCGGCGGCGCTGCCCTATCGGATTGCGCGGTCTCGCATGCGTGTGTCTTTTAGCCATGATAGAGGCGCGCCCCAGGTAGACCCAGGAGGGGGCGTGGATTCTTGGGTTTCTATTGCTGTGCAGCCAGGCGTTTTACCATCCTCGCATTGTCATCCTCAAAGTTGCGGTTCGGGCTAGTGCCAGACTCCGTCTGGAGACGGTTCGACAGCATCCATCCGTGGCCGTCTTCGCAGTGCCAACGAGTTCCCCCCATGGAGACGGCGGCCAGCGCCGGTCGCTGCGCGTGCCAAGAGCGCGTCGACATCGATCATCTGGGTTTGACAAAAGACCAGTACGAACCATCTCCCGAAGAGACGCTCTCGATGGATCGAGCCTGTCGGAGGTGGCGGCGACGCGGGAGAGGTGCGCGGAGCTCCTGCGCGGTCCTCGTCGAGCGGCGACCCGATCTGCACGAGCTCTTGCAGAGGGGGCGGCACAGCGCCCCCCCCCGCTGCGCCGACGTGGTTCGGCAGCCTGGCGCGAGCGAGCTGAGCGGGGTTCTGGAGATTGTGATTCGCGGGCGCGCGATGCGGCACTCGACTACGTGATGGCTCAGCAGATTCGCCTCGAGGACGCGCTCGGCCCCGTGGGGACGAGCGCCCGGCAGAGTGAAGCTGCGTTCGGAGGACGCGCGAGCAGAGGCAGGTGGATCACAAAAGTGCCGACTGCGAGAGTCGAAGAAGAACCAATGCCATAAACATAAACTTTTGGCGCTCCGCGCGGATTTCTTGGATCCGCGCTGGGCCCCCCCGGCGGTGCCTCTGGCGCCGCCCCTGGCGCGCTCCGCGCGCCTGAGAAGGGGGACGCGTGCCCTCGTTGCCAATGCGGGCTCGGATGAGATGCCGGAGGGCGGGATGTTGGAGCCCGCGTAGGCGGGTCGGGCGCTTCTTCGCGAGTCTCGAAGGCTAGGTTAAGAGCACAATTGTGTTTAGAGTGCGATCCTTTTCATCCAGTGGCGAGTATCATTGCCGTCGCATTGCTATAGGCCCCGTTGCTTGGCCGCCCCCTGGGGTTGCAGCTTCTCGCGGTTCATTCCGGGCGGCGTTGCCCGTAGAGAGCACGCTCTCGTCGCCAATGCGGGCCAAAAGCCAGATGGCGACAGGGCGGGACGGGCGCCGTCTCGTAAGTGCCGAAAGCTTGCTCAGCGCGTCGGAGTGCAATGTTTATCGGAGCGCCACCCGTCGCCGAGGGCTTGGTGCTAATTATGGCCGTGGCATTGGGGATATCAGGTTTCGGGAGACCTTTGGGGGGCTCCTGGCAGGAATCCTGGGAGTTCGAGGACGCCTTGGAGGCATCTGAGGGACACGGTTCGGTTTGTCTGCCGACGCTGTCCTGGTACTCCATTCCGTAGGCGTTAGCGTTTCGGTCGCCTCCTGCACGTCGTAGAGTCTGCGTTTCTTCGCACGCCATTGTGGTGCTTGCAGACTCTTTGCTACTATGGTGCTTGCAGGCTGCTGTGGTGCTCGAAGGCTGCTGTGGCCTTCACGGACTAGGGTGGCTTTCACAGGTTCATTGCCCGTGCTCGCAGACATTGTGCTGGGCTCGCAGGTTTTTGTTGAATTTGCAGGGTCCAGCATGTTTTTGCGCACGCGCGCGGAGTTCAAACGGTATTATGTTGTTGGCAGGGTTGCAACAGTTGTAGTAGTGGCATCGGTTGCAGAAGCAGTGGCAGCGACAGTAGCAGTAGCAGGGGTATCAGGAGGAGGGGAGAGAGGGGGACGGGGTGGGCGTAGTCGTCACGTCGTCATGATATTCGGTCATCTTGATGTTGTGGTCGTCGTTGTGACTGTCGTAACCGTTGTCGTCATGATCGTCGTGGTCATCGTGTTCGACTTGGTCGTAGTGGTAGCCATCGTAGTCGGCGCGTGGTCGCCGTTGAGGTCGGCAACGTCGTCGTGATCGTCGTTGTGGTCGTCATCGTAGTCGTCGTCGTGTGATCGTCGGAAATATTGTCGTGTTATCACCGTGTTTCGGCAGTCGTATGCGTGCTTACAGGCACCATTGTTACCCGCGTCCTTTGGACCGAGGGTGCGCCCATACCCTTACCAGTGCGCAACTGTACAACAGAAGTGTAATCAACGCAGGCGTTGTGGTGTACACAAGCGCTGTGGTGCGCGCAGACATTCCGGTGTACGTACGCAGGCGCCTTGGTGAAGGCCGTTGCTGTTGTGAGTTCGCGCAAGCGCAGTGGTGCACGAACGCACTGTGGTGCACACAGGCACTACGGTGTATATAGGCGTTGTGGTGCACGCGGATGCGTCGGTGCAAACTGTGGTGCGCAAAGTGGTGCATGCTGTGGTGCGCACAAGCGTGGTGGTTCCGGGGCCACATGGCGGCGGGGGGGGTGCGTTACATCATGCGGCCCCCCCCGCCCCCCCCATAACGCCGGTTATCGCCACGATAAAACATGCTCTCCAAGAAACCATGTGTTCTTCGTCAGTGTAGCCTGTTGTTCTCCGCTCCGCACGCCGCGCGGTGATTCACGTGGCCGTACAAGAAGCTGCGGCGGTCAGGGTGTTCCGGCTTTCTCCCAGATTCGGCGGCGAATTTTGGGGGGAAGTATGAGGGGGCAGGCCTTTTCAGAAGGTTGCGGTTTTTTTGAGAAGCCTTCGCGCTTTCTGATCTGAGAGGTTGTCTAAGCTTTCTCCGAAAACAGATGCTGCGGTTCAGAAGGCCGAGGGGCTTCTGAGAAGCCCGGCCGCCTTCTGAGAAGGCTTGTTCCATCTCATTTCCCCCTGGGCTCGCCGCCGACAGGTGCATCTCGCGCGCGGATTTTCAGGGTTGGGTTTCTTGCGATGGTTTCTTGTGGCCGCGTCCGCACTGTATTCAGTATCGTTTAACCGATCCCTATTCCCATCCCCATGCCAGCTCCCGCCATCCCATCGTCCCAGTGGGGATGCACTCCTCGAAGCTCGAGTGGAATAACCCATACCCCCTAGGGGGGTACATCGGCCAGTGGGGTCCAGTCCACGCCCGTGGGGGAAGGGATCGGTTACACGATGCTCATGTGTGTTCTGCCTTCGGCGGCGGCGGGGTGCGGTGCTCTCCATCCCCGAGTGCCTCGCGCTCTGCCCCCCCCCCCCCCTCGGCGCGACGGCGCCAGAGGCGGCGCCGGGGGGCCCAGCGCCGATCCCCCGAAGTCCGCGCGGACCGTCGACGTCTTGTGTGTTGCCCAGAGATCGGAGGCCCCGAAGCATCTGCAGCGGACAGCCTTGGCCGTTGTCGGCCTCCAGGGGCCCTCAGAGGGCCCCGGGGCCGCCAGCAAAACTGCGCCAGGATGGAAAACCGTCCCTGAGGAAGCGGTCCAGACCTTTTTGTGGGCCCACGCAGATTCGAGCGCCAGATGTCTGCGCACTGCAGGTTTTGCCGCTCCTCCAGGACAGTCTGCTGCTGGGCGTCCTCATGGCGAAGAAGGGCGAGCCCATGGCCAGGCAGCTGGAGGTTCTCAGCGCCCCCGCCTTCGCGCGCCTCCGGGTGACCCAGGCGGTCCTCGCAAGGAAGGACCGGGCGGCGTGCATACACGGGGTGTCGGAGCCTAAGAGACGGGGGTCAATGCAGACGGGGGTCAGCCAGGGCACCGGATCCTGCAGGATCCTGCGAAGACCCTTTTTGGCTGACCCGGGTTAGCGAGCCGTTCGTGGCCGCGAGGCGGCCGTGCCTATTGGCTGACCCGGGTTTGCGAAGACCTGCGTTGCAGTTTTTTTCCTGCATTTCAGTTTTTTGGTTTCCTGGTGACCCGGGTCTGGATTGACCCGGGTCAGAAGATCCCCGAGGGTGTGTGCCCGCGGGGAGGATCAGTATGAGAGGAGGAGGAGGAGGAGGAGGAGGAGGAGGAGGAGGAGGAGGAGGAGGACGAGGAGGAGGAGGAGGAGGAGGAGGAGGAGGTGGAGGTGGAGGAGGAGGAGGAGGGGAATTTGACGAGGAGGAGGAGGGAGGAGGGGGCGGCCTGCGGAGAGGGCAGCCAGGGGTGGCCAGGCATCCCGCGCGAGCTCCGAGGCGCCCTCCCTCCGGGCCCCCCCGCAGGGCGCCTTCCGCGCACCCCGCTGGGATCCCCGGCCCGCCCCGCCGGCCGCGAGGCCCGCCCGCTGCTCTGCTGGGGCCCTGGCCTCGGGCCAGGCCTCTCGGCCGCGCCCTGCGGCCGCGGCCGAGGGCCCTCTCGGAGGAAGGCGGTCCCCGGAGAGGAGGGAGAAGGCGCCAGTGAACCCAGACCTCCTCGCGTCGTGAAAAAATCACGACGGAGGTTTTTCGCTATTCTCGGCCTCCGGGGGCCCTCGCCGGGCCTCGGGACCGTCAAAAAACGACTCAGGACGAAAAACCGGTCCCGGGGAAGGGGTCGGGACCTCTGGGGGTCGCGTCATGAAAAAATCATGACGTCGGGGGTCTGGGGAAGGCGCCGCGGCCACCGCGCGGCACTGGGCCCCCCAGGAGTCCAGAAGTCCGGGCTTCCCCTCGCCGCCCTCCGTCGCCCTCCTTTTGCCCCCCCCTTCTCTCCCCGAGGCGGGCTGCCTGCCCTGGCTCCAGATCCGCCGCCGCGGTATCATCAACAGGGCGGGCCCATGACTCTGGGCCTCCCAGCTGGGGTCCGAGCAGGTGGGGTCGGAGGAGTGCACCGGGTCGTCGATGCATCGGCGATGCGGCCCGACGCGGAACCCGATGTTCTTCACGCGGTCGTCGCCGATGCATCGCCGACCTCGCCGATGCATCGCCGGTGCATCGCTGATGCGGCGCAATCCTCCGACCCCATCTACTCCGACCCCATCTAGGAGGCCTCTAAAAGAGTACCCATACGGCTACCCTTCCCTCGTTTTCGCTCTTTTGGGTTTCCTGGGAGGCCTTCGTGGCCATGGCCGAATGCGCCTCGAAGTCCTGGTCAGAATGCACCCGGGGAGGGGTCCGGGGGGCAGCGGCATCGGTACCTTTTGGCTCCCCCACCCCCCGCGAGGAGGGTCCCGTTGGGCGCGCGCGCGCCGCCAGAGTCTAGTCCTCTCCCAGAATTGGGGATCGGAGCTGGTCGGGTCGGAGGATCGCGCCGCATCGCTGATGCATCGGCGATGCGGCGCGATGCCCTCGGCCTCCACCTTCCACACCTGCGCGGCGGCCGCCGCTAGCGCGGCCGCAGTGGCGGCCGCCGTCGAGGCCGCGGCGGCGGTCTCGGCGGTCGCCGCGGCCGCGCCATGGCGGCACGAGCTGCGCGGAAGGCTCGGCAGGTGGAGGGTCGAGGATGCGGAGCCCAGTTTTCGCCACGCCGACGGCGGCGATGCATCGGGGATGCGGCGCGTCCTTCCGACCCCATCATCTCGGACCCGATTTGGGAGGCCTCTGCAGAAGGGGTGTCTTCCCCCGCTGGGCGATCTGCCGCCCCGTGGACCTGCACCCTCCGCACCTCTCGCGCGGAAGGTGCCGCCGCCGCGGCCTCGACGGTGGCCGCCGCCGCGGCCGCGGCGGCGGCCGCGGCAGCGCGGCGCTTGCCGCGCAGAGGGCACGGAGGGTGCAGGGCGAGGGGCCGCGGTCGCGCTGAGAGCAGCCCGAGGCAGGCCACGTCGGCGTGCGTCGGTTGTGCCCGAGGCGTCGAGGGCGAGGCCAGTCCTCGCCAGCAGCATCGATGCTCCTCAGGACGCTTGTTGGCCCAGTCTGTGTGTGTGTGTGTGTGTGTGTGTTGAGCCCGTTCGGCTACGCCGATAGCACGAAGCCTGCGTCGACTCCCAGTTGCACCGCCTGCGCCAAGTTGCAGGGCATCGGTGGGCAACACACATTCAGGGGCAACGTTAGGGAGAGATGGGCTCACGGGGGGCTGCATCGACCCCGAATCGCCCATTGATCGCCGATAAGAGGCCCGATAGTCCACCCCGCAGTGCGGATTCCTTATCAAGGGCCCATCGCCGATCTATCGGCGATTTACCGCCGCTTCCAGGTCGATGTTTTCCCTGCTGAGTCGGTCCTTTCACGTTGCCCCTCGGGAAGACGCCACCCCCAGAGAGGGCCCTGGAGGGCCCGCGCGCTGCCAGCAGGATCTCGTCCCCCCGCCAGCGATGTGACGCCGCAGTCGCGCTGATAACGAAGTGGCGTGCCGCGTCGGCGCGTGACTGCGCCCAGCGCTGTGGCTTAGGGCCCCACGGCATCCGCCGATCTGACTCGTGTCCATCTGCGGCCCCGAGGTCCCGACAGCCTCCCCGGGTGCAGCGTCTCGCCCCGGGTCCGCTCGTCCTGGCCCCCGGGGTGTTGGCAACGGCCCCCTCCGGGGGCCGAGATCGAGGGCGGGCCTCCGGGGGAGTGAGGCAGATCGTCGGAGATCTGGGGCGAGTCCTCGGGGGAGGCCCACCGAATCCCAGAACAGACGTACCCTGGAGAGGGGCCTCGCCAGGCCTCGTAGCTGGGGATCCGAGCAGACGGGGTCGGAGGGTCGCGCCGCATCGTCCATGCATCGGCGATGCATCGCCGATGCGGCTCGATGTGGGGCCCACTTTCCTCCACGCCGACGTCGCCGATGCATCGCCGACGTCGCCAGTGCACGGCCGATGCATCGCCGATGCATCGGCGATGCGGTGAGATCCTCCGACCCCGTCTACTCGGACCCAACCTAGGAGGCCTCTAGCCTCAGGGCCCGCTCACCTCGGGGCGCCCGACGGCTGCGTTTTGGCGCCCGCCGAGGCCGCTGCGAGACCTCACTGGGGGTACGTCGCCCTGGGGGTTCCTTTGGGCATTCCCGCGGAAGACACGAAGTCCCCGCCTGAAGGACACGACGACGCCGCTCTTCCAGCAGGCGCGCGGTGTAAAAACAAGGCGTCGCCTTCACCAACTTTGGCGCGTAAGCTGCCCGCGTGAGGTCGCGCGTGAGCGCCCCTCGTTCCCCCCCCCAAGAAAGCAGCTAACAAGCAGCAGCAACATGTAGCCTGCCGTGCCAGCGGCCCACGCAAGCCGCCGCGCAAGGTCGCGATGTCATCGTTCGGCAGCGAGCCCGGGGGGAGGGTGCGGGCCTTCTCGGAAGGCTCCGAAGGCTTTCGGCCATCCGAGAAGTCGTCGAAGCCTTCTCCGATGACGGGAAGAATAGGCACGAAGACCGACCGCAGTTCTGGCTCCTTTTGAACAGGACTCGTTGTCGGCGTCCCCCGCGGATGTGTTTGATTTGAGAGACGGCCGACTGCCCAACAGCGGCAGATGTCGGTTGTGGGCAACATTTGATGTTGAGCATCGTGGAAAGGCGTGCGCCCGTGGAGCAATTGTATCACATTGCCTGATTCGAGCTCTGCGCGTTTCACTCTGACGCTGGGTGGCTGGATTGTCAGGTGGCTGCGTTCTCTTCAAAAAAAACATTTGATGTTGAGCATCGTACTCATTTTTTGTCGTACCCATTCCAGGCGTCCAGAGAGGCGGTTTCTCGGGGTGCTGGAGGGTCTCCGAGAAGCCCCCGCCGCCCCCTGAGAAGGCCTGCCCCCCTCCCTTCCTCTCCGGGCGCGCAGCCGCATCGTGCGTGCTTTGTCCTTTTTCGTCGTTCGGGTGAGCGACGGAAGAAACCTCGGAGGGCACCAACTATACACCAACACCGATCCTGGCCCAGGATCACCCTGGGCCCAGGATCGGTGTATATGCCTTCTTGCGCAAGGCAGGGGGGCGTATACACCGATCCTGGGCCCAGGGTGATCCTGGCCAGGATCGGTGTTGGTGTATAGTTGGCGCCTTCCTAAAACCGGGGTCGACTGCGCGGACATCCTCGGGCGGGTGGCAACGGGGGGTGACCCAACTGGGGGCCGAAGAGAAGGACCCTCACGGGGCCCTCTGGAGCCAGCTGGTGCCAAAAAGGAACCCTGGGGGGCTCCTGCAGGGCCCTTCTCTTCACCCCCTAATTATTTGGGTCCACCCCCCAGTGCTACCCGCCCGACCTCCGCGCGCAAGTTGCCCCCACAAAGGTCGCGCCGTTGAGCGCCCTCTCTTCGCTGCGCGGTGCGCCGCGCCGGCGGCCCTCGTAGAGTCTACTGCTGGAGGTCGCTATGCTTGGCAGTGCTCGGACGTGTGCACTTTCTCTCGGCAAGGGCCATCGAGGAGCACTCGGGGCCATCTTGCCAAGCAACAGTGCGCGCACGGGGCCGAAAAATGCACCGGGCACGGACTTCCGAGCGATGGCGAGTATGCCATTTCACGGAAGACCCGCTCCCCCGACGTCATGGTTGTTTGTCATATATATATATATGGATAACGACGCCCCCCTGGGGCCGATTTTTCATCCCGAGCAATTTGTTACGCTGCCGGGGCCCGGCGAGGGCCCCCCCGAGGCCGAAAAAAAGCTGCAAATCTCCCGCCATGTTTTTTGTGCATTGTCCGAGGGCGTCTTTTCGTCGCTCAGGTGAGCGAGCGACGCAAAAAAATGAATTTGACTGCGCCGACCTTCGCGCTTGAGCTGCTCGCGTAAGGTCGCGCGTGAGCGCCTTCGTTTCCAGTGTAGCGTGCCGCACTGGGGGCCCGCATAAGCCGCGGCGTAAGGTCGCTTTCGGTAGCAGATCATATACCCTCTCAATTCCGTCTTTAGCGTCAACTAGCGTTTGGGAGTCGGTGAGATAGCGCCGATTTAGAGTCGACGTAGCGTCGACGAGCGTCGATTTAGCGTCGACCAGCGTCGATTCGTAAGAGCCGAGAAGAGGGTCTGGGAGGCTCCCGTGAGTTGCCGCCAAAGTCGTTGCGTCACCTCGCGCAAGACCCGTCTCTGATCGTCGCTCAGGTGGGAAAGAGCGCGTTCTGTGGGTTGGAACCGGATCCCCCCTGGCCCCCCCCCTCTCCTCCCTCCTCCTTCGATTCGACGTAAGAGTGACCTTTCGCCGGAGTGACCTTTGGTGCGGGCACAGATGGGCCCTCAGATGGCTGAAAATGAAGCGGTAGCAGGGGCTTGCGCACCCAGGTTTGGTCTCCCCGCGGCCCCCAAAAAGCCGCGCACCAAAGGTCACTCTTACCCAGGGTCACTCCTGCGTGTAGCCGACTCCCCTTCTCCTCCTCCCCGGTTCGAAACGCGCCGCCGAATGTTCCCAAGACGAGCGCCCGTGAACCGCGTTCTCTCTCTCTCTCTCTCTTTCTCTCTCTCTCTCTCTCAGGTGGCGAGCCTCCTGGACGCCCACGGCGGCGGCGCGCAGGAGGCCGCGGCGTCGCGCGGCGCCGCCGTGGCGCGGGCCGTGGGGTCGCTGCGGGCCCGCCGCTCGCGCCTCGAGGCGAGCGCGCGCCACGCCGAGGCCCCGAGGGAAGCGGCGCGGGCCCCTCCTCCTCCCCGTCCTTCCCCGTCCTTCCCCGTCCTTCCCCGTCCTTCCCCGCCCCCTCCCCCTCCCCCTCCTCTTCTTGCCCGCCCCTCTCGCCCCCGTGCCCCCCGCCCCCCCTCGCCTCGTCTCCCCCCCCCTGTTCACCAATTCCCCTTACTTCTCGCGGCCCATGCCTCCTCTCATCCTCTTCCCGCTTCTGCCCCTGCCGCCGCTGGCGATGCTGCCCCCCCCCTCCTCGCCGCCCCGCCCACGCCTCCGCCCTCCTCGCTTCCCCGTGCGCGCCCTGGGGGGGCCCGAGGGCCCCGAGGGAAGCAGCGCGGGCCCCTCCTCCTTCCCGTCCTCCCCCTCCTGTTCCTCTTCCTCCTCCTCTGCCCCAGCTTCGTGCTCTGGCGCGATCCTCTGACCCCATCAGTCGGCTTGCTGGGGTTCAGTACGCATGGGGCCGTCGACGTTGCATTCCCGCGGCCGTCATGCTATCCTCTGTCTCACGTTGCAGTGCAGTTTCGTTGTCGTGTATCACAGGGTTTGAGGTCGTGGTGGTAATGCTTGTTGAAAAAAACACTCTCGCCCATCAATCGGGGCCAGTCAGCCACGCGCAGAGGGGGGGATGGGGGATGGGGGGAAGGCTTCTCAGGAGCACACCTGCTTCGCAGAGGGATGGGGGGAAGGCTTCTCAGGAGCACACCTGCTTCGCAGAGGGCGGGGGGCTCGTCTGCAGATGCAGGGCCCGCGCCATCATCCGACGCGGGGACTCATCCGTCACCACCGCCTGGGGGATCGATCTCCGCGGACCTCCACAGCCGGTGGACGTGGATGGACTTGGACCCCCAGGACCATCATATGCATATCCACCGCCCGCTGGGCCACCAGGACGTTAGTTCACAGGCGGTGCATATGGATAAATCATACTTGTCCGCCTCGTATAGTATATTATACTCAGTGGCAAGCGGCGGCCCAAACGCAGTGCACGTGCTTTTTGTCCGACACCCGTCGCCTGGAGATCCGGCAAGAAGATTATACATTGTGCGTTGTCCCCAGCGTTTGCTCGGAGCCTCATGGGACTGGACTCCGATGCCTTCTTGTATAGAAGCGTGGTTCCCGATCAATCTCTGAAAGGGAAACTGTACAAGCATAAACCTCCGACGATACGCGTGGATGTCTTGGATCGGCGCTGGGCCCTCCCTGGCGGCGCCACCGGCGCCGCCCCTGGCGCGCGGAGCGCGCCAGGGAGGGGGCTTCAGCGCAGATCCAAGAAATCCGCGCGGACCTCCCAAGATAGATGCTTATGCAGTTTTCGTCTCTCTCTACACCAGCCCAACACGGGGAGGGGGCGCTCCGCGCAGATCCGAGAAGCCCGATCGGGCCTCCCAAAAAAGCAGCCGCCCGTGCAGGTTGTCTCTCCTTCCGCCAGCCCCACAGGGACGAGGGGGCGTTCCGCGCAGGTCCGAGACTCAGAGCGTGAATTACCTACCCCGCTTTCGCTTCCAGGCAAAACCAAACCATACCACGCGCCTCCTCGTCAAGCGGCCTGACCAGTACAGGCTGCAACTTGGCATCGTCTGGTATCTCTTGGAAGCGAGGGTGGTCAAAAGCGAGGTAGGTTTGTTTTCCCCCTAGAGGCATCCGCGCGGACCGACGTTTGTGCAGCTGGTCGCCCTCTGCCAGCCCGAGCTCCGGCCGCGGCGCGCGGCAAAGCCCGGGGAGCCCGCGGGAAGCCCCCGGGGTGATGGGCCTGTTGTCCACCACCACCACCGTAAGTTGGAGGGGGAGGGGGTCCTCCTCCTCCTCCTCCTCCTCCTCCTCCTCCTCCTCCTCGTCCTCGTCCTCCTCCTCCTCCTCCTCCTCCTCCTCCTCCTCCTCCTCCTCCTCCTCCTCCTCCGTTTTCCTCCTCCTCCTCCTCCTCCCTTTTCCTCCTCCTCCTCCTCCTCCTCCTCTTCCTGCTCCTCCTCCTCCTCCTCCTCCTTCCTCCTCCTCATCCTCCTCCCCCCTCCCAACTTATGGTGGTGGTGGTGGTGGAAAACGAGCCCATCACTGGGGGCACTGGGCAGGCCCCGCCGAGTCTCGGGGGTAAGGGGTCCGGGCCGCCGAGGCACGCCTCGGAAGCGAGGATGTCGAGGCTCGGGGGGGGGGGGACTGGGCCCAGGGCCGGAGGACGCGCCCGCGACGTGCCCAGCGGCACGGCGGCGGAGTGCTCCTCCTCCTCCTCGTCCTCCTCCTCCTCCTTCCTCCTCCTCTCCTCCTCTTTCTCCTGCTCCTCCTCCTCCTCCTCCTCCTCCTCCTCCTCCACCTCCTCTTCCTTCTCCTCCTCGTCGTCCTCCTCCTCCACCTCCTCCTCCTCCTCTGGCCTCCTCCTGCTCCGCCTGGAGCCTCCTGTTTCCTCCCAAAGCATCCTGGGAGCTCGGGAGGGGCTCTGGTCCGCGGGCCGTTGTCTCGGGGCCGGGTCGCTGCACCTCCCCGCGGCCGAGGCTCGACGTGGCCCCTTCCGTTCCCTGTCTGGCCCTCCTTACGGGGCAGCGCGACGGGTGCGCTCCGAGCCCATCTGGGAGGCTTGCCGCCGCACTTCGGGGGGAGGGGGGCTGCATGCTTCCCGGGGCTGGCCAAAGCCCACTGCAGTCGCCGATCTGTTCTTCTCCAGCGTCCCCACGGCGGCCTCGATGCGGGCGTTGAACTCCGCAGTGTCCCGGCCCGCGTCCGTCCAGGCCATCGCGCCGCCAGGGCCCGCGATCTTGCCGAGGCCGCGCGAGATGCCGAGCAGCTGCGCGCGGAGGGCCTCTCGGGGGGGGGGGGGCGGGCGCAGATGGCGCGGCGGGCCCGGCAGTTCGGCCGAGAGTTGGACCGGACGTAGACTGAAGAGGGTGGCGGTTCGCGGTGTTCGCGCGTTCTCGTCGGCTCTCGACGGCCTGCAAGCCTCGGGGTGCTCTCCAGCAGCTGCGCCTCGCCGAGGGGCGTCGGGGGGTGCCCAGAGCGTCCCCAGCGGCCGCCGGAGACCCGAGTGATGTCCCGAACATTGCACGGCGAGGGTCACCGGAGGAATACACCTTAGGCGATGCTTAAGAAAACTTAAGTTTTCGGCCAGAGTCTCGATGATTCTTAATGTTTCAATGTAAATCCTAAGATTCGAATAAACATTCTGGGTTTTTATCAAAATTCTGAGACTATGAATTTCTTAACCCATGATTTCTAAAGCATTTCGCAGGGTGTAGGTTCACCATGAATTCGGATCGGCCGTACGTCGGTTGATGTTCCGACTTTGACGTGTGTCGGAAAGTCGGGAATGCATGCCAAACGATGCGAACAAATAGGGCATGGATCTCCGCCGCAGAAAACTTGGGCCGGATGTTTCCTGAAGGGTGTGGCGGAAACAGCGACGGCGAAGTGGGGCGGAGATTGGCATCAGATGATCTTGAAACGCACGGTGGATCCGAAGTCAGGGGATGACCATGACCAGGATGTCGCGGGATCTTGTCGGCGCCGAGGAAGAACTGGTACCGATGCCGCTGCCCTTGCTTCGTGTTTGCTTTTTTTGGGCCTCCCGCGAGGATCTCGTCGCCACGGCTCGATTCGGCCCGAAGCTATGGCCAGAGCGCCTTCACGAAGCAGCACCCTGCCAAGAAACACCCTGCTTGCCTCCAGGGTGCCCTGGGTTTCTTGGTTTTCAATCGCTTCGCGATGGACAGCGTGACGTTCCCACACGCAAAAAATCAATGGACGTCCTGGGGTCTCAGGGTTGGGTTTCTTGTGGAAGGTGTCTTGTGGATGGGCCCCTACTGCATGGCCATGACCAGGGCGTCGCGGGATCTCGTCGACGCCGACCGTTGCAGCACAAGAAGCGCCGCAGATCGGCCAAAAGCAAACGACACCACCCCACCCCACCTGCGGCCCCTCCGTGTTGCGCTTCGGCCCTCCTCCTCCTCCTCCTCCTCCTCCTCCTCCTCCTCCTCCTCCTCCTCCTCATCGGGGGCCGTAGCGTGCACCTTGCAAACGCCCACGCCAGATTTGCTGGTGGACGCTCAGCCACGCGGGGCCGCAGGCGGGGTGGCATCGCTTGCTGCATGGCCCAGCACGAACGCCATTCCTCCGAGCCGTGCGCGGCCTTCGGGGCATCGACGTCTGGGCCTCCGTGCCGGCGCCGCTGGCGCCGCCTTTGGCGCGCTCCGCGGGCCCAGGGAAGGGGGAGCCAGCGCGAATCCAAGAGATGTGCGCGGACCTCGGAGAGGCGTCACGGCCGTGCCGATGTTTGTTCCTCGAGATTTCTGGGTCGTGGTCCACGAAGCGGCGATGGCCGGGGTGGGCGCTGGCCAGGATCGGCACCGACATTTCCGCGTTCCGTCCGGTCCTCGTGTTCTTCCCCTCCAGAGGCGGCGCACGCCAACGCCACGATGTGGATCGGGGCGCTGAAGAGGGAGTACGACCAGGAGAGGGTCCCCTCCTTCGGCTGGGGCGCAGAGGCCTCCCTCCCCGAGCCCAGTTCTCCGACGGAGTGTGATCTTTGTCGTCCGACGTTCTTATTCCTTGACTTCGGGGGTTGCGAAGGGTGCCCCTGGCCCAAGGTGCCCCCAGCTCTTCTCTCCATTTTTGGAAGCTCCTGGGCCCCCCTGGGCCTCGTGAGGGGTGCTCTGGAGGCCGTGGGGGCCTCCTTGGAAATGCTGGGGGCACCTTGGGCCAGGGGCACTTCTAACAGCACCCAAACCTAGTCCTCGCCCCCTTCTTGGACGCCCCCGACACTCCCTGGGCCTCTCCCGGGGCGCGTTCAGACCAGGACTTTGGGGCGAACCCCGCCGTGGCGCCTCTGGGGCCCCCCGGGCCTCGTGAGGGGTGCTCTCGAGGCCGTTGGGCGGCCTCCTTGGAAATCCTGCGGGGCACGTGAGGAATTCTCTGGCTTGACGTCGCTCGGACGCGTGCGTTTTTTCCTCGGCGAGGACCATCGAGGAGCATCCTGGATCCTTTTGCGAGCAACAGCACGCACGAAGCCGAAGAATGCACAGGGAGTGGACGTCCGGGCGATGGCAAGCTGGAAGCCGTGGGCTTGAGGATGCTGGGCGGCACCCTGGGCCGGGGGCACTTCTCGCAGCACCAGAGGCCTGCCTCCCTTGGCGCACTGCCTGTCGCCCCGCTTGCGGTGCTCCCGCGGCGCCACCGCTGCGAGCCAATTCCTCGGTGGCCCTCCAGATTCCGCCAGTCTCACTGAGGCCCCCCCGGAACACGGCCCCTGGATGATCGAGTCCATTCTGTGCCCAGCTTCGGCGGTCGGAAGCTTCCAGGTGATTTCCATCATCGTGTCCGATCGGAGCCTGGCCGAAGCAGGCATCTGGACCACCCGTCGGAGTCCGGACGCAGGCAGTCGGCAGGGCCGCGCGTGCCAGGAGCCCCACCGGCCGCTCCAGGTGCGACTTGCCGCGCCCCCCGGTCTGATCTTGGGCGGCGAGCCCGGGGGGGAAGGCAGAGGGGGCGGGCCCTCTCAGAAGGCCTTCGGCTTTCCAAGTCTTCTCCGATGCCACAGGCGGCTTCTCAGCAGGCGCGAGGGCCTCTGAGGAGCCCCGCCGCCCTCTGAGAAGGCTTGCCCCCTCTCGCTTCCTCATTGGACTCGCCGCCGAGGCCTCTCAGAGAGGGATCGTGCGCAGAGAGGAGCACGCGACACTGCAGTCTAAAGCGCTCCTCTTGCGCAGGGAGCTGGCTACCCTCTCGCAAGTTGTCGAGAGGTCGAGGGGGGAGGCTCGCCTCACCTGGGAGGTGTCTCGCCTGGGATCAGGCGATCACAGACATGGCTCAAGGGGGCGTGGCTTTGCGCCAGGTCCCGGTTCCATGGGGAAATCGCGGATTCCCGCCGCCGAGCAAGGCGGCACCGGCCGCATCTTGGAGAGGGCACCTTCCCCGATCCATGGATTTGGCGACCACGCGCCAGATCCATGGATCGCCAATCCACGCTTGCGCGCCCCCCGATGGGAGGAGAGGGCGAGGACGGGCCTGTGCGACAGGGCTGCCTATCGACTCCCCAGCTTCGCCGTCGCCTGCGGCATCGCTCCCAGTGGTGGTGGCCGCTGCTGCGGCCCCGGTGCTCTGCAACGGCACAGTCCGAGCGGAGTCTCGCGCCGCCCACCGTCCCCTCGCACTCCCCTCCCCAGTCCCCTCGCCGTGCGAAAAAGTCGCGACGGGAGGCCTTTCGCTCCGTTCGGGCTCCGGGGGCCCTTGCCGGGCCCCGGGGCCGTCAAGCCACGACTCGGGACGAAAAGCCGGTCCCGGGGAAGGGGTCCAGTCCTCTGGGGATCGACGTTGTTCAAGCAGTGGCGAAGCGTCCTGGCTCGCCTATAGCCCTACCGAACAATGTTCTGAGAACCTTATGTGGTTCCCACGAAATGGTCTTAGAACATTTCTGGCGGAGACTGTCTTAGCTTAACACATCGGGTTAATGTTCTAAGAACACTGTTTTGGTTCTTCGAACATTTGGGGGTTCTAAGAACAGTTCGTGGTAGGACTATAGGAATACCGGGACGGTCGGCCCCTGCTCGAGTTGTGAACAAAAAGCCCGAAGTCGGGGGTCTGGGCCGGCTGGCGCCTCCCGCCACTGCTCCCCCCACCCCCTGCCTTCATCGCCCGCGTCGGCCCTGCCAGGCCCTGCCCTCCCCCGTCCCCCTCCTCCTCCTCCTCCTCCTCCTCCTCCTCCTCCTCCTCCTCCTCCTCCTCCTCCTCCTTCTCCTCTGTCCCCCTCCACCGCCCCCCAGAGGATGGCCAGTCCCTGAGGATCCTGCGCTCCGCGCAGGAGAAGGAGGACCGCAGGTTCAGTCAAGGGTGGAAAAACCACCCCGACCCCGACAATTCGCGTTTACTAAACAGCCCTGGGCGTTTACTAAACAGCCCTGCCCTGTTCGATTCCTTCCATGGGTGCGTTTACTAAACGGCTTCGCTTGTCGGGGTGCTTATTATGGGGGTGGATTTTCTGCTCTCTATTCAGAGGAGTGCGGGGTGGGGAAGGAGAGGGGGCCAGAGCAGACCAAGCACGCGTAACTGATGTTGCGGCGTGCCCCCCGTCCCAAGTCCTGCATTCGCCAAAGTGAGGGGGACGATCGGCCTCGTATTGCCCCTGCGTGCATGGCTGAAGTGGGGACCCACGATGCGGATCATCGTTGTTGTCGCCGTTGTCGTCCCGCGCCCCGCCCGCGACCAGCCTACAACACACTCAACAACCAACCCGCGACCCATGCACGACCCACCGGTGGCCCACCGACCCAAGCCCCGCCCACATCGCTTTGGCTAACATCGGCCGCTCGCTGCGGTCTGTCTTGCCTTGGATTGGGAACCGCTCCCAAGACTGCCTCAGGACCTGCCCCTCCTCGTCTTCAGCCTCCCCCTCCTCTTCCTCCTTTCTCCTCCTCCTCCTCCTCATCATCCTCATCCTCCTCTCCTCCTCCCCCTCCTCACATCCCTGGGACCTTCTTAGAGCTCGGACTCCGAGCCACGCTCCCCCAGCCTCCTAGGCGAAGGCCCTGTGACAACCCCCAGGAGCGTTCAAGATCGGCAAGAAGTGGACACGAGTTCCGGTGATATTCGGGCGCTGGACCCCCGGGCACCCGCAAGGAAGGCTTGCAATACCCAACGTAGACAACTCGAGGGGGCTTGAGGACCACTTGGTGCCTACTGCAGGGTGGCGGACCCACAAGGATGATTGGGGCAGGAGGAGGACGACGAGAACTGGGTCGGAGGAGTGGAGGAGGAGAAGGAGGATGAGGATGAGGAGGAGGAGGAGCTGGAGGAAGAGGAGGAGGAGGAGGAGGCCGTAGCAATTTTGGCTCAAGCCGCCCACCAGCGGGCGAACCCCCCTTTTGCATGATTCGAGCGAGCTAGGCCATGTCCTTTCTGCTCTCTTGCGACAGGTGGGTGTTCTGCTGTGGAGTTTGAGGATGGCAACGGGAGGCCCCCTTGGAGGGGCGGCTGGGGCGCGCGCCTCGGCGGATCGGTTTGTGGCTAAGTTGCAGGCCGAGATCAAGCGAATCAAGGGCCAGCTCGTGGAGGCGCTGGGCATGCTTGCGGCCCTCAACGACGACGCCAGTGCCATGGTCTTCGGCAGCGAGGTCGTGGAGCTGCGTCGCAGATTGCAGCTCATTATTCCGGTGGTTGCAGCCGGCATCGCAGGCGTGAGAGTCTCGGGCACAACACGGGCTCGGCGCAATTTTGCTGAGCACAACTTCGAAATGCCTGCCGAGATCTTTGCTGGCGCGTCCCCCGCAGAGCTCAACAGGCTCCAGCGTGCGGGCAGGGCGAGGCCCTCGAACGAGGTTACCCCAGAACCTCGGGCTGTTGACATCGTTGCAACTGTCTGTCCTCACGGCAAGGCTCTACGTTCGGAGGCCGCCGAGTTCATTCCTGGGGCGGGTCACTGGGTACCGATTGGTGTGTGCCCAGCCTCCAAGGGCCTTCGATGCACGTGCGGCACGGCGGTCTATTGCTCAGTGACCATCGGCGCCACTTGCTTCGTGAAGTATCCCGTGCAGAGGGGCTCTGGCGCGGGAGTTTGGGCAGATCAAGCGGTGGTGCTTCGTCGTGAGGCGGAGGGCGAGGCTCAGGACGAGGCCGAGCAGTCCGAGATTACGGACTTGGAGGCAGGCACGGTCGTGCCAGATCCCGCCTCGGACACGATCACCAACACCGAAAGGGACAGCGACAGTGATGTGGAACTGGAGATGCCGCTGGCCATCGGTGCGCCAGCGCCCGATGCTGCAGATGGCGGCCCCCGGTCTCCCTCCGATGGGGTGCCCCCCCCCCACGGAGGACGGCTCTGAGGGTGTGCAGGCGGGATTGGCTGGGCTGCGCGGCGGCTGCCCGAGAAAAACGACGGCCTCTCCCACGATGCTGTACACTACATTCGTGAGATCGAATTGCAATACTCTGCATGGACATCCACCCAGACGAGGAGACCCTTCATCCGTAGGCGACGCCGTTTGGATTCCATTCGTGATATTGATCTGGAGCACTCTGTGTGGACAAGCAGCCAGACGAGGCAACCTTTCATCTGCAGGCGCAATCGTTTGGATTCACGAACCCAGGGGCAAGGCAGATCGATTGGTATCCCAGGTATTTCGCCTCCCTCTGATGATGCAAGCTGTCCACAGCAGTGAGTGTTCCTTTGTGTAGCACACATGCCCCTATTGCAGTCTTTGTATGTGTGCGCGCTTGCCACATGCATCGTAGTTTGTGTTGTTGTGCTATTTTGCGTGCCCTCTATGTCAGAGGTAGACCAACCATGCAGCGTTGTGTGTTATTGTGTGACTCGTGGATTGCCTCTGGTGCCTCGGGATGTGCGATGATGAGGAGGAGGAGGTGGAGGAGGAGGACGCGGAGTCAAGCTAGCCAGCTCGAGCGAGTCAGGCATGGCATGCCTTTTCCCACCCGCCCTCCCACACCATAAGAAACAGCGTTGGCGCAACTGGGGACCGAAATCAGACCGGCAAGGTGGTTTGCCACAGCTGATGCAGCTGCGATGGCGGTTACCGATGGGGAATTCCTGGCGCGTCTCAAATACTGCGCTGGCGTTTCAGCACGAGCCGAGGTGGCCCCAGGAAGCCTCCTGAGGCCCCGGGAGGCCTCCTGAGACCTCCCAGGAGGTCACAGGAAGCCCCAGCGAGCCCCAGGAACCCCCAGGAGGCTTCAGGAGGGCCCAGGAAGCCCCAGGAAGTTCCAGGAGGCTCCAGGAAGCCCTGGGAGGTGTCAGGAAGCCCCAGGGAATCCCAGGAATCCCCAGGATGCCCCCCCAGGAGGATACACGAGGCCCTGGGGAAGCCCCGGCAAGCCCCAGGATGTCCCCAGAGACCCTGGGAGGCCCCAGGGGTGGCGCTCGACGAACTGGCGAGCGAAACGTGTACGCCGCGCCTTAGCGGGAGCGCAACTTTCAGAAAACATGCGCGCAGCGCCGAAGCGAAAACGACATTTCTTCCTGTCGCGCGCGATGTGCACCGCGCTCCATTCCCGCCGCGCATTTCGCAAAACCGACGACATGTCGTCTTTGCGTTGGTTTTTGGGGGGTAGGATGGCCCCTCCCGTTTGGGGTTGCCCCAGACGTCCGCGCGCGATGTGCGCCGCGTCCCGCTCCTGCTACGCATTTCGCATCGCCGACGACAAGACAGGCCATGTTGAGAGGAAAGACGGAAACGTTGTATTGATTATTTGCCATCAACGAGAAGGCCCGGATTGACGTCCGCCCGCGATGTGCGCCGCGTCCCGTTCTTGCTACGCATGTCGCAACGTCGACGACAAGACAGGCCATGTTGAGAGGAACAACGGCGATTTGGTATTGTTTTTTTACAGTCATGATGGGCCCCCTTTATGGGGTTGCTATCGGCTGGACAGAAGGGGAGCAAGAGTATATTCGAATGGGGAATAAGGATAGGAGGAGGAGGAGGAGGAGGAGGAGGAGGAGGAGGAGGAGGAGGAGGAGGAGGAGGAGGAGGAGGAGGAGGAGGAGAGGAAGGGGAGGGCCGCCGCCAGGTTCCAGCGGAGGATGGACATTCAGCGCCGAGACATCGGCACCATGACGGCGGCCATAGACGCGATGGAGCATGGCGACGTGCAGGGCGTGGAGCGGGCCGAGGCGGCGCTGGAAAGCTCCGTGAGGAAGATGCGGTCGCAGGGCAGCGGCTTCCTGGTGCTCATCCAGGACCGGCGGTTCAGAGCTGGGTGCCACGAGAGAGGGGGCCCCGAGAGCGCATAGCCTCGATCAGTGAAGGCTCAGTTCTCGAGATTCCTTTCCTGTCCTTGGGGCCCACTCTGAGGTAAAACTTGGGACCTTTCATTGGATCCTATTTCCAACACGCGAGGAACATCGTGAACATCATCAGCCTCTGCCTGCGGGTATCAAGATTCCTGAACTTGGAACTCTTAGGCAACATGCTCCTATAGTCGGGGCCCTGAAGAAGGAACCCTTAAGTGTTTTGCAGCTTGCCTCAGGTTTTCCTTGTGTTTTCGACAGGAAATCGAAGTCGAACTTATGGAAAAAAGGGGACTCGTTCCTTATTTTGGGTTCCTTAGGTCAACGCCCCGACTGTATCCTTGGGGCCCCATCCTTCCGGACCCCACCTTTGCGCCGCCTGCAGGAGGGCCTCCGTGCCTCTGGCCTGGACTGCCCGTACTGCGCCGCGCAGTGCGTGGACGCGTGCCATGCCGCGGGCAGCCCGTACGTCGCGTGCCTCGCGGAGTGCCAGGGCGTGGGCACGTAGAGCATGCGCTTGCCACGGACTGCTCAGGAGGAAAAGAAACACACAGACACAATTAATCCTCGATTCCCCCGAAAATATTGGAAAATATGGGAAGTGGGGGGGAAGACAAAAAAAACAAAAAATATGGGAAAATATGGGGAATCCTTTTATTTCTGTGTATTTATTTGTGTGTCCCAGGGCCCCTTCACAGAGGAGGTGAAGGTGAGGTAGGTTCGCGCCGTGTCGACTGGCGGCGACCCCGAGGCATGTGTTCAACGTGGAATCGGTCGATGCTGAACGATCTGGCGTTTCGGAAGCGGCCGATCGTTCGAGGTTGAATGATCCACGCGGTGTCAGGAAGCAGCGCCGAAGTCGGCACGACACGAACCCGTGGTACCGATGCCGCTGCTCGTCCTGGAGAAATTGGCGCCACTTTCGTGGGCTTCCGGGGGCCCAGCGGGGGGGTGTCCCACGGGGACCACCAGGAGACTTCGCCGTCCCTGGGGGGCTGTGATCTGCGAAACTGTCGCCACTTTCGTGGGCTCCTGGGGGTCCAGCGGAGGTGTCTCACGACGACCACCATGAGACCTCGCCTTCCCTGGGGGGCTGCGATCTGCGAAACTGTCGCTATTTACGTGGGCTCCTGGGAGGCCCAGCGGAGGTGCGTCTTTCGCAGATCACCATGAGACCTCGCCGTGTTTTGGGGGGCTGCGATCTGCGAAATTGTCGCCACTTTCGTAGGCTCCTGGGAGGCCCAGCGGAGGCGCGTCTTAAGCAGATCACCATGAGACCTCGCCGTCCTCTGAGGGGC